GTAAGCGAAACATGCAAATTCTTGAACTGTGCGAGTTGCAAAAACAACTAGTTAACGAAAAAAGCCAACAAGGAAGTGGTGACTCGGCCCCGTATATAAGGGTTTCAGATCCACATAAAAATCAGATGTATCTAGCCGCCATCTAGTATAGACGCTCAGATTTTATTTGTTATTAGTAGTTTACTTTGTCTATAATTTTAATTTTTATAAATAATATGACTGATTATAAGTACAAAATATAATAATAATTACATATTATATTACATTAATAATAATAATGATAATAAGTACACAATAATATACAAAAGTAAATACCTTAAGCCTATTTCCAGAGTCCAAATAGTTTTATAAAAATTCTTTTATATAGAAATAATGCAAACATTTCATTAATATTTTAATATTAAAAAATACACCATTATACTATTTATCAATAATTGTCATACGTTATTTTAAAGTTATAAAATTTCTTTAACTTATACTGACAAAAATAAGTATTTGATATAATGGTCCGTGTTTCTCTACAAAATGTATTTTATTTTATATAAGTTTTTTAATATAATAAACACATAAATTTACTGAGCACCCGAATCCCGAAAAATATAGATTCTATATTACATATCTAGATCACGAAAAAAAGATAATTCACTGAATTTATTTTTCTTTTTCAAATATATTTCTATTTATATTAACTCAACAGTCATTCTTTTTGTCACTTTTTTCTATTTTATCGTTTGTTTTCTATATTAGGTATATAGTGAACTAATTTTCTAATCGGATAATAAATATGACAGTTTTTCTTGATTATTTACTTACATATCAATCATAATTGTATAAAACAAATCGGAAAATAAAATTAGCATTTTTTACCTTATAATTTAAAATATAACACATATTTAATGCATTTATATGTATGTTTTATTAAAAACTTTTAAAACGAAAAATATGTTGTTATGTAAAACTCCTTATCGCCCAATGGGTCCAGCTAAAATATAAGGAAATCACCTTGAACATCTGGACTCTTATTTAAAGTATTATTTTAACTGCAATTTACACAAAATTGTACATTTATATAATTGTAAGTTATAAATCAAATGACTGTTTTATGTAAATAATCTAATTGTACTATTTATGGTAATAGCACTTAGTACAAAATATAATACTAATGACCCTTATAGTCAAAGCGTAAGACTTAAATCAAGTTAAAAAATAAAACACATTTAAAGTTAAAATGAATTAAATTTTTGTAATTGATGCCATCCTGAAAATTAACTTTTAAATTATACCTTTTTCATGAAAACAATACACTAAATATGGGCCACGAGTCTAGTGTTAAAAAGCTTGCGCACATTTTACCAAATTGTTCAGGAAAGCAGTTTTCCCATTAGCATCTCATATTTTCCGCACTCGAAATGATTTTACTTTTAAACTCATAAAAATCTTCTCAAATTTGTGCAAATCGTAAAAATAATATAAAACGAGTATATACGATTATTTGATCATTTTGAAATAGAATTGTTTATAGTACATTAAATGCGAGCATAAATAACATAAAATCCTAACAAGTATTATTAAATCCTTAATTAACCACGGTCTATTGAAATATATTGTTTTAAATTATATCCATTTTCAGTTCATTTTGTATAGGAACAAAAAATCAATTCCAATCTTAACATAATAATAAGAGGATTTTCATTAAATCCGGTGATAATACAAATATTGATATTTTGAAAGAATATGATTTCTGATGATTCGTAGAGTATTTCTGTACTATAGAATTTGATTCAAATATTTTACTTTAGAAAAAAATAATCGCTACTATCAATTATTTAATGCACGTTGAAATTATTTTCAGATCAAAAATGGAAATGATTTAAAAAATTATTGAATAATATTATACCCATCATCGATTAAACAAAGTTTCCTCTGTTACACAGTTATTGCCTGCAAAGAAATCGATTTACAAATTAAACTATACACGACAGACGTCGACTACCAACTATGTTCCATAATTTTTAAGCGCATATATTATATAAACCATTTCAGTCTATGGTAGAACGATTTACCATAAGAGGCAGCTGAAACCCCCCCGTGGTAGCTTTTTACACAGTTTTCGTGCCATTTTTTAATTACTTAAGGCGACCATTGCGACTTAAGCCTAAGCATAGATTAAAAATATATATATATATATAAAAAAAAAACCTAAATCCCAACGGGTAAAAACCATTGTTGTCGGATGTTTTTGAAATATTAGTTGAACATTCTAGGAACTTGACCTTTTGAAAATAACACAACACATATTTTTAATTTTTACACTCACCGCATTAACACGAAACAATAAAAATAATCATACGTATATTTTAATATTTAACATTTTACACATTTTTTTTTTTTGACATTAATTTAACAGAAAAACAATGTCATTATACATTTATATGTCGTAGAAGTAAAAAAAAAGTCTACAGGTATTTGGACTACAAAAATAAATGTTATCTTTAAAATATTGAAAACATTCCATTAAATATTATTCCATCATTTCAAAAAATTTATTACGATTTTAACGTAGAATCCTAAAAAAAAAAAAAAATGTTTTCCTCACCCTTCACCTTTTAATGGTCCGATATGAACTTAGTAAAAACCAAAAAAATTCGCTCATACCCCTTGGTTGTATGGTGCATAAAAAAAAATTTATTTTATTTTCTATGAATTCGTATTCCAATTCTAATCATCAATATTTCTGGTTGAATAGTTGGAGTAAATTTAAAAATCAAATTGGAACAATACATTTTTTATTAATTTACCACTTTCTAATAATAACATTTATGGACGTTTGCTTTCTAGTACGTCATACATATTTACATTCAAATATTGTATGAAAAAGGAAAATATTAAACTATAGAAATCGATATCTATTCATTTGGCAACATTGCAGTTTTATAAATAAATATATTTTTGACACATTTTTAAAAAACCGATGTGTTTTAAATTGAAAATTAATAAGTCAAGACTGAATAATTTGGCTCCGATTCAACATTAAATTGATGCTACAGGTGGTTATTATTTTAATATTCGTTGGTGAACAAAATGGAATGTGTTTTATAATATAAATATAAATATATATAATATAAATATAAATATTTACTATATATTATATAGTAAATAATAAAAAATAAAATTTTATATCTATTGTATTATATAAGTATTAAGTTATTTTATTTGTTCTTATTATACATGAATTACATTTTCATGTAAATTCGTCATGTCTGTGCATTACAGTTTTCTATTGAAATTTTAATTTTTACATTACAGTTTCAAAATGTCTTGAAAAAATTTAATTAAACAGCTTTGTTTGTATACCACCTATTTCACAGATCCGTTGAGACCCTTTTATTCAACGTAAGTCGTCGAGTCCCATCTGCAATTTTCTACGTGTCACTCACCCATTTAATTATACTTATGTGCTGCTACAACTAATAAAAATAATACTAAAACAAACGTCGTTGGTAATGTTTTCCACTTTATGCGATTCTGATGTATGTGTACGGTATTTAGAAATATTAGAATACTTGAAGACGACGTTTTTTCGATTAGGTATATGTTTTGAGCATCATGAATAATTACTTCACTTGTACGTTTGAAAAATCTCGATGTATTAAGGTACGAAAATGAATTATATATTACAAGGAAATATGTTACCCTTCATTTGATGTCTTGTTTTGTTCCGGTAAATAAAACGAACGAAAACATTTGTCAAACGATATGTTTAACAGTTATATAAATTAAAATTTATGATTAAAACCCGAATTATTATTATTTCAAAGTAATTTACGTATATAATTTGTTGCATTTGTAAACAATTCGAAAGCAGGCAAAATATTAAATATCCTTAAAAACTATATTTTCGGATAGTACACTGGTTATTATTATGTGAATTATATGTTATTTCCTCGATTTTTACAGTAATAGTTCTACGCTTTTTCCAATTGTTTCCTCGTTTTTATGGTGTGCCTTATAATGACACTCGATGATAGGATTGGCTTTATATACATGCGTATATATATTATAATGTACGTAGATCAATTCTGTTTAATTATTTTACTACGTACTTACGTGTGTGTAGATAATTTGATTAGAAATACATCGTTTGTATCAGTTTTTAGTATATTTTCTATCAACAGAACCCGTTCAATCGTTTTGGATTGATAGCTTAAAATTAAATGAGGATAAGTATTTCCATTTTCAACAATCGTATAATTGTGTAATATCAAACATAAATTTAATAGGATCGTAATGAAAATACATTTATTTTTGACATATTCTCTCTATTTATCTATATATTTTAAGTTTTATAAATATGTTTGTATTATAATTCAAATAAAATACATGAAATTATAACGGTTTCAAAATTGAATGGCAACTCATCACATAAATGTTGCAATCCTATCTTAGGTTATAACCTGCGAATTGGTAAACGTTGATCTGTATTATGAATATTATGATATATGCATATTAGAACACTCTCGGTTGCATAGCGTAAATATATGAGTGGTTGCCATAATAATACAGAACGTATATCCCATATAATTTGCCTGAAACATATTTTAATTAACAATTTAAATCGACAATTAGAACTATTTTTTTTTTTTTTTTATTTAAAAAAAATTTGTTGAGTATTATGTAATTATAATGAAATCATACGAAATTAATAATAACTATAATTATACTATTTTTATTGATGATAAATTATAAAAATTTAAAATAACTGTAAGATTATCCATTTGTCAACGAATGTCAACAAAAATAACTATCCATTGTACTTATAAGTACTTAGTATCCGGTAAAGCGCGAATGACGATTTAATTTGGATATTGAAATATTCATAAAAAGATGATGAAACCAATCTATATGCATACCGCGTTTCTGGCAGATGAAATTCAAATATTTTATAATTGTCCATATTTTAGTTGCATACCTTTACATTAAAAGTATATGCATTGTTTCAGAAGCAGTGGAATTCGATCGAATATGAACGAAGTACAAACTCCAAACAGCGATTCCGATGATGTGGAAATTGATGGTTACAAAGAATCAAAAACACAGAAATATTTGATATCAATGATCGTTATTTATGCTGTATGTTTGTGTCCACTGATGATTCTAAGGTGACTGTACAATTATCAAATAGTATTTACACTTTAACTTAACTCTGAGTATATAATTTAATGTAAGTTTTATTCCAATTTTTTCTAAAGGTCGTGTTTTAATACGATTATTATTTGTTACAAATATACATTTTAATAAAAATATCGATGATATAATTTATTCGGCCAAATATGTCAGACAAAGTTCGAAATTATTCCATTATATTCCACTTTTTTTGTCCTTACTTTTCTTTTATTTTTATACAATAATACAGCAGTATAAAAAGTGAAACAAGAAAAAAAATTCTATGTTCCACAATTATATACTCTTTTTTTCGAAAAAAGTACAAGAAAATAAAATCAGTAATCGTAAACAAGGAAAACAAAAATACTTTAAATACTATGTAGTCTCTGTTCATAAAATCCAATAAATTGTTCTGCTTTTATTGAAATGGTAGGTAAACATAAAATTATGATTATTTTTGAACTATTTTTGATGAGAGTCAAACGTATATTTATAATACGTGTCAATTATTTACGACTTTTATTCTTAAATTTTAAAAAAATAAAATAAAAGAACAAAGCGTTTACACATAATGAAATTGAAAAAGTTACTTACCGAAAAAAACTTTTATTTTTGGTGACCGTAATAAATATCAGTTGATCTATGGGATATAAATTCAATCACTAAGCAAAAATACAGTGTACACTTCAGAGTATCCAACCACACCTTTTTTATTTTAGGGTCTCTGATCCATCCATTTATCTAGGTATCCAGTTTTAAACAGTACGTGTAAGACGAAGACAAAGCAAAAGTAAAAACTATCATTTGAAAAAAACTATTGCATTAAATTGACTGAGTACATTTAATAAATGAATATTGCACAAATCAAAGAAAAGAAACCCAGATTTTTAAGTAGTTGACATCTATACTTAATGAGATTAATTATAAATATATATTCGTAATATTACCATCATAAATCCTGAATGCAATATTATAAGTATTTTAACAGTATTATTTTTATCGAAATTTCGTAGAATCTTTATTCAAAACGAAGTTACCGTACATTGTAAAATTTTCAATACAGTCAGGAAAAAATTAATCTTTTTCGTCTGATAACAGAAATCTACATATATATAGTATATAGAATAATGTATATTTTTCAGATTGGCAAAACTTGAAGTGTCCGAAACGTACGAAAATAGCCGACACTTCGATTTAACGTTCATGATATGCGTCTGGCTAGCATTTGTGCCGACGGTGACCACTCCGCTGCTATTTGTTGCATGGAATTCGGACAGGTAACATACATCGTGTTAAATTAACAACCATGCACTATATGTACTTTTGTGTAGATCTCTATATAGTAGAAATACATGCACGTTTAATAAATGGTCGTCCCTAACCGTGTTACGATGAATTATAATCCAAAACTCAGACACGGCGTGTTTATTGTTAACTATACACGAGTGTGTGTGTGTGTGTGTATGTGTGCAAAATCTTTGTCCCATTGTTCGTATCGTTGGCATCTACCACGTGCTGTTACCTCGGTGACACAATACAGTGTGCAATAGTGTACGTCGGTTCCAAGCACAGCGTTCTAAATATAAGTTTCAAATGTAGTAATCCTGGTGTTGTCCGACTCTAATCGAAACATTGCATACTATGGTTTTTGCAGTAGCACCAAGGAAAGGATCAGGAGATATTTCAAAAGGACAAAAGTTACGGCCGAACAAACGACCAGAACCATGTCGATGGAGGGACTGGCCGCCCGGAATTCGATATACACGGTGCAGGAGAGTGTTCCTTAAATGTTGATTCAGTTGATTCGCATTAATTTATTAAGAAAACAGAAAAAACAAAACAATACAAATAATAACATAATCGAAATAAGTTTAAAACAAAAAAATTAATAAAACAAATAACACGTAGCCGACAACCGATGTTTAAAATGAATAGCTCACACCATTGCCGGAAAATTGAAACTTGGACACGTCCGCAGCCGAAGAGTAAAGGACGCCCAACAAGTTATTCGGTAACTGTTGACCGGGCGCGTTCGGTTGTTGATACGAGTTGGTCTGCTGCTGCTGCTGCTGCTGTTCCTCGACCGGTGTTTCGGTGACCGGTATGGCTGGCCTGAACAACGGTTTCTGCGTCGGATAATATTGTTGCTGTTGCTGTTGCTGCAGTTGCAATTGCTGCTGAAGCAACTGCTGCAGGTAGTAGTCGTTGTACTGCTGTTGCGGCTGATAGTAAGCCCCGGTCGCCGCCGCCGCGGGTTGTTGCTGCTGCTGGAACGGCTGCTGCTGCTCCAACTGAAGCTGTTGCAACTGTTGAAGCTGGAGCTGTTGTTGCTGTAACCGGGCTTGCTGCTGCTGCTCCAAAACCTGTTTGCTCTGTTGCTGCGGGTAATAGTACTGCTGCTGGCCGGCCGTCGCGGCTGGCTGTCGGTAGTACTGGTCGGCAGCCAGCAACTGTCGCTGGTGCTGCTGCTGCTGGTAAACGTCTTCGGTGGCCGTCAACGGCGAAGCAACAACGGACTGCGTTGCCGCGTTGTTGTAGTACCGCTGTTGCGTGGCCGCGATCTGCCTGGCCCCGGTCGTCGGCGGCCTCCTGTAGGCCACGCCGTACTTCTGGCCGGCGCACATGGCCGTCATCTGCAACAGCGCCTGGAGGGATCGTCAACGGACCGCGTTAGAATCAGGAAAACAACTTATCGCGTTCACGACCCGTCGGGTCGATTTCGTTTCGGAAAATTAAAGAACCCGCAAAGTTTCCCCACCCGTGTGACCGCGGCAAGTTTGTTCTGCCCCGAAATTTCGTGTTTCATCCGCGCGAAAAGCTGTTCCGGACAACGGTTACACATCGGTACGAAATATTACAACGTTCAGTATCGATCCGTCGCTTCGGGCGGCTAAGTGCAACGTTTTAATTTTCCGAGATCGTTATTAAATCATTGGCTGTAATAATCCGTTTTCCTAGTTTTAATTTTAGTGGATAAAAATTTGGTTTTTTTTCTATATTTATACGAGTATTTACGTTTAACGCAATTACAGTACTAACTCGTATCTATTAAATATTCGTGTTGATTAGGTGCTAAATAAAATTGTTAAGATGTAAGATATCGTGTTGAAAAATGTAAATGTTACTTTTTGCGTTTCGCTATTGTTGTCTTAGAGAAACTACAATCGATGTAAAAAAAAAGTTCTAGCGTTCTGATGCACATGTATCAATGTTCGATGTTATAAACGTTGTAAAGGTAGTTTTCATTTGCATGTATATAGTTAGCATAGCTCTCTATCTAATCATGATTTAAAATTACATGATGGTATCAAAATTAAGCAATCATACACTCTAAACGATCCATTTTACAAGTAACGAACGTCGTTATATACATTTTGTTTTGTTAACCTTATTATAATTATTGATTTTGAAACCCTACTAGTTTATATTTTGATAAAATTTATAGTTGGAAACTTGAATAAATGTTTATTATAATTAAAAAAATATATATATACAACTAAGTGGCTTTTTAAATGTTGTTTTTTTTTTTTATCGAATACAAAAACCCGACTAGTAATAATGTCGTAAATCATTAAATACCGGAAGTAATAACGAAATTGTATGGTATGATTTACAAGAGGTATTTTTTTTTGTAGTATTTTTTAATTAAAAATGACGTCGATAAAAAATTGTTCACCAGTCGTGAACTATTTAGTAACACGTTTATTTGATTACCTATTTAATGGAAACAATTTTTTATCCGATTAACATATACATCAAAACTGCAACGGTATAACGGTCAGCCGTTTTCGACGTAAACGACCCAAGAGAAGATGACATTTATCGGTGGTCAAATAAACATACGTATACTATGGTAATATATTTTCGGGGTTTTTTTTTAGCCCTTGAACAACAACAAAAAAAAAAAAAAAAAAAAAAAACGAAAAGGTAGAAACGGTTTTTAGAGCGTTCAGGAAAAAAAATTTAAAAAATATACATATATGCGTGCAAATCGAAATATTAAAAAAACCGTTATGCTCACCAAACCGATGAACAACTTGGTCGACGACTCCATTATGATACTATTGTCGTCGAGCGGTGTCGGACCCGATGCGTGCGCGTACGTATAACACGGCGACTGTTCTATTGCGGTGCGTGCTAGCGTGTGGAGGCCAAAGCGTACACGTGTGTGGAGGCCAACGGTGTGCTCGGACGTTAAATCGAAAGTGCGACGGATGCGTCGGAGGACTAAACATTTATAACGGGCCACGTAGACCGTACCAGTAATCGTTGCGCTCTCGTCCGCCGGCTCCGGCACGCCGATCACGTAGTCCGACCGTTTTACACGTCGTCAACTCGCCCAAAACGAAGCATACATTACGCACACTGTCGTACGATTGGTCATGTGATTTCACTCGGTAATCAATTAACGCATTCCTGTCTCGTGCGTTTCCCGCTCCGCGTCCATCTTTACGTCATCCGAATAAGTCCCTCCGACCTCGTCGACCGCTCGAATCCTTCGCACGTACGCGCATTGTACATTCTCAGTTGGCCGATGCGGAATCGATTGTTTTCGCCACCGCCGTATGAGCTTTTTCCCTTTTTCTCTTTTCGTCCCTCTCTCACTCTCTCTCTCACTCTCTCTCTCTCTCTCTCCCTCTCACTCTCTCGCGCGCACTGCTCTGGCCACTGCACGATGATGGGTTCGAAAGATTTAACATTTGGAACATGTGTACAAACCATTCGATCGCCCACGGCCGACCGAATCGGACTGGATAAAGAGCTGCACTCGTGTAAACGCGTACACTGTACGTAACGGGAAGAGTACGAAAATCTGATAACGTACACATCAACCGGATGATGTGTAAACACTACCTATGCCTATTGGATAAAGTAGACCCATTTGAAAAACGTTTATTTTGTAGGTACATTAATCGGGTGATTTGTACATTATTTACCTTTGAGCGGACAAAGTGGTGTTTTCATAAAATAAAATATGGCATAATATAAATCGTAGACAATGTTAATGGAATACGATTAAGTATAAATTGTAAATTATGTAAAATCGTGCGCATTGCATAGTAATTTTAAACTTCAGTACGGTGTTATTGGTTCTCCAGTTCACTTGTTCGGTTCATTAAAAAAAAACTAAGCGGCTTAAAAAAAAAACGTGTCTTCCTAAAAAGAGAAACTTTATGAGAGTTTTAATAAATTAATTAATGAAAATAATGTAAATTCAGTAAATTTATCGGAATAAAAATATTATAATATACTATCTGAAAGAAGAAACGTGAAAAAAAAAAACAAATACATAATTTTGAAACTTTTATAAATATTTTATAAGTGTAGGTTACAAAAAAATCTTTATGTAAAATAACTAATGCATAATTTCTTTTCGGTGGTCAAAGTTTTAAAAAATTGTTTGTATAAAAATAATCGTTTAACAAATAAATGTAAATCTGAGGAGATATATTGCAACTTAAAATACCATCAGAATCTGAATAAATAACTATATTTAATTTTTTTAATATTTTTATATTTATATATATAATAAATTCATAATACATAAATTACTTAATCATTTTTTTTTTCGAATTAATATGATTTGGATTTTTTTTTCTACTTAATATTTTATCCATTGCATATTGAACAATGTACACATTATACTGTTCATATTAATAAGATGTACTTTACCCGGGTAATGTGTAAACTACCTATTTCCGAACTTTACCCATAACATGTACACGTATATGCTCTTGTGTGAACACCAAAAAATCGTGTTTATTAATTAAACCATCGACATACACGTGTGATGCATTCATATTGTAACGAGAGTTTTTTCACCAGGTCGCGCACGAGGAGAGAAATCATCGGGTTTCGATGAAACTGTTTTATTAATTTAATTAGTCTCCCTGTGAATCGCATGACACTAAACGTCGGATTCTGGTAGTTGATTTCAATTCCATATTACAGTGTTGGTCGAGTGAATCAATAAATATATATATATATATATATAAGTCATGCTGAGCGATATTGTACACGCCAAAATCCAAATGCAATCGGTAATTTATACATTTTATTTACCCTGTGAACTTCATTCGCGTAATACAAGAGGACTGATGCTGATGGTGATTCCAGCTTTGAGCCCTTTAAATGACCCATTTGAACAGAATTCGACGTTCACCGATTTTCTCATTTAAATGAGACAATTTGCAGTCAACCAATTCAAATAAATCAAAGTCAATGGTGTATACATAAAATAATTATTAATAGATTATTTTGATATGTGTATTTTTAACGCGCTGAATAATTTAATAATTTAATTATGCCAGTAACAAAACCTTACACTCAGACCTGAAAATCAAATAAGTCAACTAAGTCTCAACAATTGCTTACCGTAAACTCCACAAAAAAATACTATTAATCCAAACATAAGTCACTAATTAGCTTCTAATCATGTCTCTGAAACTCTACATGAAAACTCAAATGAAAGTGGTGAAGAGACTCTTAAACCTTTTCAGTCCCTATGGCCCCTACAGAGGACATTCTTTTGAAATAATTCTGATATGGTTAGAAATAGGTTATAATAAATAAATAATATTTGTTTGCCATGCTAATAATGTAAGGAATACAAAAAACATAATATTTATAATGTGAGTCTTATAATGTATATTTTATAGTAAGAAATGTCTCCAAAAATGTTTGTCACGAGTTTTTGAAATAAATAGATAACAGAAATATTTTTTTCTAGTAGATGAAATGGTTTTAAAAATCTGAAATTTTTTCTTTGATAAAATAACATCATAGTCAATATGTACGAATGACCATTATTTTCCCCAAAACTAGTATCAGTGAAGTTAAAACAGCTGTTATGTATGTCCCTCGTAAGAGACATTGGGCTGTTATGAAGTCAAATTATGATAAAATATTATCATTTCTATATGTTATCAAAATACGAAATAAGAACATATTAATTTGTTTTTACTCATTTTTTATGCAAAAATGCCCCATGCACATTTAGGACACATGTTTATTGTGACAAATGTAATATACATTTATGTTTCATTCCTGGGCGAGAATGTTACCGTCAAAAACATAGAAAGTAAAAAACTAAAACAAATTTTTATTATTTTTATAACTATTTTTAATTTTTATTATTATACATGGCCTAGTAAAAAGGGATAAGACTGTTATATTAATTTTTATATATTAAATACATAATAAATAATAGCATATAATATTTGTTTTTATTCTAATTATGACTGCGTAAGAACCCAATGTCCCTCACAGAGGACAATCCAATATCTCATTAGGATATAACCAAAAAAATTTTTTAAGAATTTTTTTAGTAAATTTATACCCCGTTTACTACATATTTAATAAAAAAAAAATTCTTACTTGAAATATTTAATTCTGGGTCTGAAAGGGTTAAAATTATTCCTCTCTGCTATCCATAATAGGTACATCCATTGGAAGCCCTCCTGTATCGTTTCATTTCATGTTATGTATAAATCACCTTATCATTAATAATTGTTGTATTAGATTGAATAATTTTATATTTTATTGATAAAATAAACTCTTAAAAAAAAAAAAAATTAAACGATGTATAAGGAGTACACCACAATTTAAATAATCATATTATTTTGCAAAACTCGTTTTTATCGGAATTGATCTTACGTTGTTTTTTATTTTTTGCCTTAAAAATTTAAATAAAATCTCTAATCCTGTCCATTTTCAAAAAGTTAATAAATTATCTATTTGCACATAAATCACAATTTCTATTCGTAAACGCATTTTTGCGCAATCATTTATAGGCTAGTAAACGAGTGATAGGTATTATCTAACCGACACACATACAGATATTGCTACGATTATATCAGTTCAACGATAAAATGTACAGTACGGCAACGTGTAAAGCATTTATTATATTATTAATATTATTTAGCTATTTTCGGCAAAGTACTGAAGAGTTCCCGATGAGGATTGCCGAAGACGTTGCGTAATGGTAAGGACAAAATCGTGATGACAATTGTGATCATAATAATAGTACGAGTATGTACAATGTACATAAGTACTAACAATGTTAGTACTATGTATGTTTGTTAATCTAACATACAACTATTTTAATTATTTAGAATCCTAGCTAGACCATAAAACTGTTATAAACAGCTCACTTAAAATAATTTACGAAAGTTTAATAGCTCCTCGCACTAATTAAATCCAAGTCGATTTAAAGTTCGACTGCATACCTATATACTCAATATATGTGTTTATTTCATCGATTGTTTCAGTTGAATTAATTTTTATTGCCGTAAAAATATATGGAGGCCTCCCCCTCCATTATAACCGCTCTTTTGGACCATAAAGCACCTAATGGTGAGAGACGAATCCTGATGAGAATTCACAACATCTGATGAGAAACAATGAAAACAGTTTTCGTCAAAAATATTTGTTCTTTTTTCTTGACGATCCTTCAACACATTGCCACCATTTCCGACACATTTCCCTGAAAAATCGTTAGGCAGAAATAAGTAATTTCAACTATGGTTAATGGACTATTTAACGAAACCAAAAAAAAAAAAAAACAAATAAAAATAAATGAAAAAGTATTGATTACTGTCTATAACCATAAATCACCCTTAACAGCGGATGTGTGGCTATATGGTCAACAAATAGGTCACACCTTCAAAATCTGTTTTTATAAATTTATTTATTTTTTGCGCCATAACTACGTTCCTCATAATTTTCTCTGGCAATATATATTTCTAAAAAAAAAAAAGTTGCTCATAAAGTGTAATTCCTATGCCTTATATAACTTTGGTTTGGTTGGCTTTCCGTTAGATTATATATATAGATGTATATATATATATATATATATTCTTTGTCGTGTCAACCTAAAACTATACAATAATAAATAAATTGAAACGCACTTGTTGATATTATACATAGATGGATATTTTTTAAAAAATAAAAATTATCCGACCGTAGAACACAAATAAAATATACAACGAATTTAGTTACAGCTCTTAATCATTTCTGGCTGTATAGGTTATTTACACGACTATTTTATAAATTTAAAATCCCAATGTGGAGCAGCGTTTTCTTCCTTGACGAGCTTGGCGACAGTTTGAAATTAACCATATCTATTGAAATGCTCTGCATATATTCAAATTCACATTAACTTCCTCGGCCAGCCAGTGAGCTATAATCTGAAATATTGCAGATAGTGTGATTGCTTTTACAAATTTGCA